GTGGATTCAGTGGTGGTGGAAGCATCTAAATGCTGGCATGGGTTTCCACATGGCTTCTCCAGCTCCAGGGCTTTGGCTGTGACAGTGTAGATCCATGTGGCTTGTCAACAGGAATGTCTCTCAGGATGTCTGTGTCCTGCCTCCAGGGAGGAAGACAGGAGTTCCCAGAATCCTCAGGAGAAGACCATCCCCACACAGAAGCCTCACTGGCTGTGACCTGATTGACAGACTAGACTCCACCTCTTTGCCAGTTGACAGATTATGTAATTGTCACATGGAGGCTGGAACCACTGTTACTTGGAAGCCCCTCTTGGGATTCTCCCCCAGCTCTGTTCTTCTAAAGACCCTGTGAGTTCCACCCCTATACCCCAGTTGGGACACTCCTCTCTCCCCTTCACTCTCTGTCCATGCTGCAAGGGCAGTGAACAATTGAATGTGGATCTTCTAGCCAGTCTCTAATTCCCACCAAACGACCTTTTCTTTCATGGATCTGGTAAGAGCGGGAAAGATACTGATAGGGTTCACCTGGGAGGAATACCATCCTTCTGTGTATAAAATCAGCCCTCTGAGAAGCAGGAGGGGGAATCTTATTACCAGCAAGACTCAGGGGTAGAGCATGTCCTCTGGACCTGAGATCCCTGCACAGTGAACCTCCTGGATCCAGAAAAGAGCTATACCAACAAAGGAGCAGCAGCAGAACCAGAAGCCAGAGCATGGAACAAAGGGATGGACTTCCCAACCCACAGAGCAATTAAAGCGGAGTGCTTTTGTGCAGGAGGCTGACTTGCAGAGTGGGTGCCTCTGGGCACTTAATTGGGAAAGCTGGGCTTGTTGACCCTCAGAAGTAGAGCGGAGTGTCTTTGGGCTGAGGCTTATTGGAGTGGGGTGCTACCAGGCACTTAATTCAAGGACTTGGGTTTGCTGCCCCACAGAACTTGAGCTGAATGCCTCTTGTTAAGGATTACTGTGGAGTGGGATGTCCCTTTGGGCATTTATTAGCAGACCTGACAGACCTTTGTAGCATTGTGGGTGTCGTGGGGTGCCAGCCCCCCACCACTAATCATGGGTTTGATAGGCACAAGTGTACGGTTGAGACATAAATATTATATTAAAGTCATCGAGAGCATAAAAGATAAAAGAGATATTGAAATAATGGAGTCAGACACATTTCATGGTAGCATGCTCACCTCAGCCCCACTTGGTGGTCCACGTGGAGAGAAGAGGAAGGGAAGGAGGACAAGGGGAAAGGGAACAGGGGAGGAGAGGGAGCTGATGAGAGGTCAAGGGAGGAGCAGAGAGAGAGCCTCTGTTGCTAACTCAGGCCTATATACCTTTGGGGGTGTGCAAGCCCACTAATTACAGGTAAAGACATACTTCATAGGAAGGGGTTGTACTGTGGGTTATGCAGCAATGAGAGGGAGACAATCTAGGGATATACATGCAATAGGAAGAGGAGGGATTGGGCTGTATACATGTGACAAGATGGGCAGATCCTAGGTTCAGGATGGCAGCTTAACTTTGGATATCCCAAGCAGGTTTGATTTGTTCTCTGGATTTCCATAAGAACCATTATCAGTAGGGTGTAAACCCCACCTACAGGAACCAAGCTAATGATCACCTCAGGGAGAAGTAGCCCATTGTCCCCAGCAGCAGGGAGCAGGTCCACCCTTTAGTTGAGCTAGAAAGCAGTCTGGCAGCTGATTACCTCAAGGGAAATAATTTTTACCATTAGCTGCAAGCAATGTTCTAAGTAACACATTGGGGGAAATCTTTCTGTTTCCCACATAACATGTCCCTATAAACATCTATCCTGATCATTATTCACTACCATTGCAACCTGTTAACTTCCTTAATAAACCCTTTATTTGAAACAGAGGAATGATCTAGGAAGCAAAACTATAGCTAGAGGTATAAACAAAGGTGTGTACATGTGAATACATTAATTCATAAAAATAGAGGTATTGGCCTAGGTACATACATTTATATGGCAATACACTGAGGTAGTGGATGGACTTCAGGCCTCTGCTCATACCCTCTCTCAATGCAAGAACACTTTGTTCTATTAAAGTGGAATTCTGTGATGCTCACCCTCATGCCACAATCACTGAAGACAAAATGGATGCATAAGCAAATGTGGTGAAGAAAGTGGATGGTGCCCGGCTATCAAAATATATAGCATCTGGGATCTTAAAGCCTTGAAGTTAAACAAGTGGCTAGCTAGCTGAGAAGCAACAAATCCACATGGAAAAAGCACACCAGCCTGTGTGATCATGAGGTGTCAATGGGACTAGGTAATAGGCATCTGAAGACAACAAACAAACAAACAAAACATATTCTTAAGAATGAGGGGGGTCAGAGCAGAGACCCAAAACCTATCTGTAGACCTGTAGACAATGGGCTATCACCTCACAGAAGGGTCACAAGGATACAGGGTACAGTATAGCACTGAAGAAACACACAATATTCCTCTGGTTTAATCATTTTATTAGGGGCTCATACAACTCTTATCACAATCCATACATGCATCAATTGTACATTCATTACCCTCATCATTCTCAAAACATTTGCTCTCCACTTAAGCCCCTGGCATCAGTTCCTCCTTTTTCCCCTCCCTCCCCCCTCCCCACTCCCTCATGAACCCTTGATAATTTATAAATTATTATTTTGTTATATCTTGCCCTGTCCGACATCTCCCTTCACCCACTTTTCTGTTGTCGTCCCCCAGGGAGGAGATCACATGTAGATCCTTGTAATCGGTTCCCCCTCATGAACCCTTTCCAACCCACCCTCCCTCCACCCTCCCAGTATCACCGCTCACACCACTGGTCCTGAAGGGATCATCTGCCCTGGATTCCCTATGCTTCCAGTTCCTATCTATACCAGTGTATATCCTCTGGTCTAGCCAGATTTGTAAGGTAAAATTGGGATCATGATAGTGGGGGAGGAGGAAGCATTTAGGAGCTAGAGGAAAGTTGTATGTTTCATCATTGGTACAATCGCACCCTGACTGGCGCGTCTCCTCCCTGAGATCCTTCTGTAAGGGGATGTCCAGTGGCCTACAAATGGGCTTTGGGTCTGCACTTTGCACTCCCCCCTTCATTCACTATGACATGAATTTTTGTTCTTATGATGCCTGATACCTGATCCCTTTGACACCTCGTGATCGCACAGTCTGGTGTGCTTCTTCCATGTGGGCTTTGTTGCTTCTGAGCTAGATGGCTTCCTCACCCCCCCACTGTTGTGACCCCAGTCCTGCCTTTCTCTACAGGCTAGACCAGAGCATGTGTGCAGGTACAGATCAGAGATAAGGGCTCATGACACACGGAATCCAGGAACAGGAATGGGAGTAGTGATACCAGAAGAGCAGGGGGAAGGTGGGGAGGGGAGCGGAGGAAGGGGGAACCAATCTCAATGATCATCACATAACCACACACCCCTCTCCAGGGAGATGAACAACAGAAACTGTCGGGGGAGGGAGCCAGCAGTCAGTATAAGATATGAAAATAATAATAATTTATAATTTATCAAGGAGTCATGCGGGTGGGGGTAGAGGGGGAAAAGAGGAGCTGATACCAAGGGCTCAAATAGAAAATAAATGTCTAGAAAACAATGATGGCAACATGTGTACAAATATGCTTGATAAAATTGATGTATGGATTGTTATAAGAGCTGTAAGAGCTCCCAATAAAATGATCTTTTAATTAAAAATTAATAAATAAACCCTTTAATCATGCCTTTTGTCTGTGGGTTCTGTGTATCCATTGCAATGGCTATTAGAACTCAGAGCAGTAAACTAGAACTCATTGAGTATTAAAACTTCATGAAGACAGCACGCAGGTCCTCATTATCGTTCAAGACCCAGCTTTGTCCCAGTGCTGCGAGAAGCCCACCTGACTGGCCCGTCCGTCCTCTGGTCATCTCTTTTCTGACTGAAACAAACACCAGCGATCCTTCTCAGAGGCAGTGTGACTGTCCTGAAGGCTGGAATCTGACTAGTAGGCTTGCAGCCCGAAGCTCCAATCTCCTACACACATGACCTCAGGCTCACTAGGAGCAGTAAGTCCGTGGCCATTGATTCGTGGTGACACAAGGGTCGAACTGTGCCCAGTCAGGCCTTCATTTTTTCAAAAGTGGATCACCAGGCCTTTCCTCCAAGGTGCCTCTAGGTGAACTCAAACCTCCAATCTTTCATTAGCACCCAAGCTAACGGAGCCACATGGTAACAGTTGTCAAACCCCAACCTACCCATCTCCCAAAACTCACTGCCATCGAATGGATAATAACTCTATAGGACAGGGTAGAACTTCCCTGTGGCTTTCCAAGAATGTAATCCTTCACGGGAGCAGAAAACCCCATCTTTCTTCTAAGCAGAAGCTGGTGGTTTTGAACTGCTAACCTTGCCGGTAGCAGCCAAATGGGTAACCACTACACTGTCAGATATCCTCTCAGCTGGTAGCGAAGAGCAAACAGCCCCACTGAGGATCCTAGCCTGGATGCCGTTGCTGTTGAAGGAAGGAAGGGCTGCTGCAGGGACAGAAGGAGGGCATGCTGACAAGACCAGCAAAGGGGACCGGGAGGGCCAGGTCAATCCCCCAGGTCCCTTGCATGCCTCCTGTCCACAGCGCCTTGCCAGGAACAGAAAGGAAGCTGGCAGAATCCCAGCCGTGGCATGGAAGAACAAGCTTGGAGGGGAGAGACGCTGGTGTAGTAACAGAGTGGTTACTATTCCCATTTCACAGATGAGGAAACTGAAGCACTCAGAGACGAGGGTTCAGCGGCCCCCCAGGACCAAGGCAGGACTGGACCGCTGGTAGAAGGCATGGCAGGCACATGCAGGCATGCCCGCTGGAGTGGGTGTTGCTGTGAGCCCACTGCTCCCAGTGGCATCAGGAAGCATTGAATGACCATAGGCGAGCGCTCATACAATGCTCAGCCCAGTGCCCCTTCCCTAGGCTGGGTCCCCCTCCACACCTGACTGTCTCCCCCTGTCACCCCTCCAGGTCATTCACTGGAACTCCCCCAAGAAGCTTCGGGTGAAGAACAAGCACGTGGAGTTTTTCCGCAACCTCTACCTGACCTTCTTGGAGTACGACGGCAACCTGCTGAGGCGGGAGCTCTTTGGCTGCCCCAGCGAGGCGGACGTCAACAGTGAAAACGTAAGTGCTCGAGCAGGCTCGGCCGGCCTTCTCCGTGTGCCCACCGACGGCCTCCACTCTACCCGGGCTGCCCTGCCCTGGGTGGCCACAAACCACTCGGTGCCCATGGCTGTGAGGAGAGGGGTGAGGCCGGAGGGAGTCTCCATGAGGGTCTCCAAGCAGAGGAAAGAGAAGGAGCCACGTCACGGGTGAGGCGGCAGGGGGCAGGTGTCCTTCCACAGCCGGGGTGTGCGCCGTGGCCAATGCACGAGGCGGAGCCCAAAGAGATGTGCGTGCCCATCGGGCTCCATCAGGCCTTGGCCAGGCTGATGGGAGTGTAGGCTCAGTCAAGGCTTGTCCTTGTCAATATGCTTCCTGTCAGGTTGGCCCCTGGTTCAGGGTGACCCTGTGCACAATGGAACAGGACCCCTGTGACCCATCAGGCTTTCAAGCGCCAATGGGAGGTTTACTGGAAGTTGACTGCCGCGTCTTCCTTCCTAGTCCATCCTAGCCTAGGAGCCCAGGTGCAAGCTGTTCGTCACCATAGCAACACACACGCAAGCCTCCCATGACAACTGGGCGGTGCTGTGCTTTGGGGTGCATTGGCCTGGGAATCAGACCCAGGCTTCCCACGTTTTGCTCTTTACAACTGGCAGTGGAGGCAAGGCAGCTGTTGAGCCCTTGACATCTTGTTGATTCTGGGAAGTACTTAAGGCTTTGAGAAACTCCGTATCCTTTGGGTTTTTCCCTCAGTTCTCTTTGCTCAAATCAGTATTTGTCATCATCATCGAGGTTTGAGTGCCCGTTTGGCACTGTTCTCCAAAGGCACAGTGAACAGTGTTTTCTTGCTGCCCCCCCCCATTCTCTCTCTTCCTCCTCTGTGTCTGAGATGCCCATAACGGCCTGAGGCTCCCTTCCTAAATGGCTCATCGACTTCTCCCTAACCCTGGCCTCCTCAGGTGGGGGTTCAGAGGAAGGCGGTCATGGGGGACCTCTCTTCCCAAGCGGTGGCTACCTGTCTGCATGCACTTGCTCACTGACCATGTGTGAGAGCCCCTGGCTGGTCCAGACAGCTCGTGGCCTCCGCTGATGCCAGCAAGGTTGGCAGTTTGAGAACACCCAGAGATGCCTCGGAAGAAAGGCCTGGAGATTGTTGGCCGGCCCAGCTCTCCCTTCAAGTGGCTGAGAAACACAGAACAAGACTGGGTGACCGTGAAGGGGGAGCCGTCCTGTGGTTGGTGGAACAAGGAGCAAGCTGGAACTGGAGTCACCACAGCCAGCTCCTGGGAAAAAGGGGCTTGCGGTTTTATCAGAGACACCAGGAAGTAGACTGAGGGGGTGTGAATGTGTAATAGATTTCCTCGGAGTGCTCATGAATATGCATTAGGGCATGGTTATGACGCTTGACCAGATAAAGCTTATCAGACCTCTCTATTTCAGATGTCTTCCGAGTTGGTCCGGTGGCCAAAGTGCTTTTGTCTTGTGACTGTCCCTTCTGTACCTGCCCTGAGGTCCAGGTCTGCTGGTAACCGATGCTGTGAGGGGGTACATTCCCAGGGGGAAATGGCTCAAAATGGACACATTATGCAGGTTACTCATGGGCAGTATGTGAGCTATAAATATTCTAACCCCCTGTGCCAGCATCTCCAATCCTATGACTGAGCTCTCTGGAAAAGCTGTGGCCTTTATAACGTCCCGCCAGGCTAAGTGAGCTGGGAGTGGTCCTGTGCTTCTCCGCCGCCTGTGGGGTCTCCCTCATTCAGGGTGGACTGGAGGACAAGCAGTACTCATGAGCACGCAGGGGTGCCAGCCACCACATGAGACCCTCGGCTGAACTGAAAGCAGGCCCAGGCCCTTCCCAGGAGCCGCTTGATGCATCACCCCTGCATCCCTGAGGACTGCCTGGCCTGCCTCCTCTAAGCACACCCCCACAGCCACCAAATCACCCCAGCCCCCACCCCCGCCCCAAACCTCTTCACCTGAGCCACACCGGCCTTCCTCTCCTTCCTTCAGCTCATCTCGGGGGCTGCGTACTTCCTGCTTCCAGTGCCCTGAGCACCTCGTCTCCAGCACTGAGGACCCTCATCCCCACCCCCAAGGGTCTTCATCAGAGTCAGATCTACATTCCAGCAAAACCACTCAGGGACAAGACTTGAGGGACAAGGGACAAGAATGGAGGCTGGGGACCACTTGGAAGGCTGTGCCTAAGCACCCCAGGAAAAACGTGTTGATGGGGTTCTATGATGGAGGGAATGGTCTCCCCTTTAAACTGTGTCCTGGGGTCCTGAGCCTGTGAGCATCATTCAGTGATTCAGTGTGTGTGAACGGGGTCTCAGTACGGTAGTAAGACCCTATCAGGGTTTGGGAGGTTGACTTCACACCCCAGGCAAAGGATGATGGTCAGGCTCTGTGATGGATGGAATTGTGAACCTCCATAATATGTACCCGGGTCCCGAGCCTTATACCTGGGGGTGTCATTCTGTTTGGGATAAGGTTGTATCTGTTACGTTCATGAGAAGTTTGCTGAACCTAACCACTTCTGAGTGGTAAAGGCACAGCCTCGACTCAAGGGAGCAGAGATGCAAGAAGCCAGACACTGGCTGATTCTCCCCGAGGCAGATGGAGCTGTAAACCCAGGACCCCAAAGGCTGTCGGCCAGTAGAAGCTGAGCCAGACATAGAAGGGTCTTCCTACAGAGCCACACTCTGGAGTCACACTTGTCGCCTCCTCCCCCAGTGCCTTTCCTGAGTCAGTGACCCCACAGACAGAGTGGCACCTCACCTTTCTCCCAGGGAGTGTCTGATGGATTCAGACTACTGGCCTTTCGGTTGGTGGACGAGTGCCTAACCACTGGGCAACCAGAGCACCTGAACCGTGAGCAAATAAATTGCTGTTCACGAGAGCCATGCACTTGTGGTATTTCTGGTGTGGCAGCACTGGCACACGGTGCAGGATCTCCCCTAGGGCAGAAGAGACTCCATCACCAGCGCATGGTTATGTGGCGCTCAGAAGGGGAGCAAGTCCCCAGGGCCAGCCACAGCCAGGTTCCCTGGCTACGTAGGCCAGCAGGGGCCGGGGCCGGGCAGGAGTCTGTAAATACTGCACTCCTGGAGTCGCGTCTTTGGGGGAGGTCCACCACCTGGTCTTGCACAGCGTGTCCAGTATTGTCTGCAAACGCAAGCCGATGGAAAGGGAAGCATCTGGGCAGCAGCCCAAAGGCAGAAGCTCCCAGCTCCGTGGGACCAGGGCATTAGGGCCCTGATGAGTACACAGATGGTGGGGAGTCTCATGGAGGAAAAAGGAAGCTCTTCATTGGACCCAAGATCCCAGATGGCAAATAACTCCCAGGCACAAGCCAGCAGCCCAGCGGAGAGCACTGCAGGGCAGGGCAGGTTCTGGCTGGCAGGCTTGTCTGGGGAGGGATGTAGGCCTCCAACTGAGTGCTGTGATCGCAGCTGGCTTCTGGGAAGACTTCCTGGAGCAGGAGAGGTTTGAAGGATAAATGAGCAGGAGTGAGTGTTCCTGAACAAGGAACAGCATGAGCAGAGAGGGAACAGCATGAGCCAAAAAGACCAGGGATGGTGAACCTAAGGATGGCCTATTTAGGGACGAGCTAGCAATAGGCGCCTTGGTGGTGTCATTGGTACATGCTGGGCTGCTAACCGTAAGATCAAAAATTCAAAACCACCAGCCGCTCAATGTTAGAAAGATGGGGCTTTCTACTCCAGTCTTGGCACCTCACAGGGGCCGTTCTACCCTATCCTACAGGGTTGCTATGAGTCAGAATGACTGAATGGCAGTGTGTTTTTGAAAGCAATTGAGATCCAGATGAGGGCATTGCGAGACCTACAGCAGGGCTGCCCAGGCCGATTTTGGTGTGTTGATTATTTCTTCAGCGAGGAGGTGCTGGCGGTGCTGTGGTGGTGAGGGGCATGAGCTGGCTGGCACCAGAGCACCATTGAACCAACACAGCACCTCAGAGAAGTCGCTCGAATGCTCTGAGCTTGGGGGTCACCAGCTGACAAATGAGGATATTGACGCCTTGCCACAGAGCCTCCTAGATTACTGGTGTTGAGTTGTCACAAAAGGTGGGCTTGCCACCAGGAACACAGTTCATTGGCATGCGGTTGTATTTTTTCATATATGGCATGGCCTAACCAATCTGACAACCCCAAACCTAAGCCCACGGCCATCAAGGTGACTCTGACTCATGGATATCCTGCAGGGTAGCGGTTCTCAACCTGTGGGTCGCGACCCCTTTGGGGGTCGAACAACCCTTTCCCAGGGGTCGCCGAAGACCATCGGAAAACACAGCGTTTTCTTGGCTCTTATCCTTTCAGAAGTCGACCACCAGGCTTCTCAAGTGAGTGGGCTTGAACGCCCAACCTTTAGGTAGGTAATCCAGAGCAAACTGTCTAGGCCATGCAGCAGCCTGAGTTCACTGTTGTCGTTGTTAGGTATCGTGGAATTGGTCAACTCAGAGTAACCCATTGCACAACAGCAGGATGCACCGCCCGTCCTCACAATTGTTCTTCTGTTTGAGTCATTGTCGCAGCCGCTGTGGGCCTTCCTCTCCCTTGCTGCCCCTCGACTTTACCAGACATGACATTCTTCGCCAGGGATGGTCTTTCCTGACAACATGTCCAAAGGATGTGAGGCCAAGGCTCACCGTCCTTGCCTCTAAGGAGCATTCTGGCTGTACTTCTCCCAAGACAGGTGAAGTTGTTCTTTGGGCCGTTCGTGGTACTTTCAATACGCTTCACCTGGATCATCATTCAAATGCACCCATTCTCCTTCAGTTTTGCCCTTATTCACTGTCCAACTTCCACTTGCACATGAGCCATAGGCATCCGCTATGACCGGAGTGGAGTAGATGTAACAGCTAAAACTCTCTATCTGAGCATTTCTCCCTCTGTTCAGCAACCCTGTCCCTGGAGCACATGCAAGATGCCCTGAGACTCCGCAGAACACAGTGAGATAACCGCGGGTCCTCTCCACCCATGTGCCTACTCAGGTGTCCT